AATATCGAAGAAAAAAAAATTTAATTATTAATATTTTTATATTTTTATATATAATTACATATTTTATATACAGAGTGTTTCAGAAATAAGTGGCCAAACTTTAAGAGCATATTCTATTCACTATAAGGATGAAAAGAAGTTATGTAAACATGGATCCGGAGAGAAACGCTTCCTTTCCAAGTTATAAACATTTTTTATTTACATCGGACAACTCGCATCGACGTTTCATGAATTGTCCTTCTATTCACTTTCTATTAGAAATAAACAAGAAGTTTTATTTATGGGGACATCTTAAGACTCTCATTTATGATACTTCTGTTACTATTACGGAAGTACTCCGAAATTGTATTATTGCTTCGTACGTGGCAAAATACGAAATACTTCAGGAATTTTTGAACGTCTTCGACAATCCATGCGACGTCGATGCGAGGCATGCATGCGGAAGGAAATCATTTCTAACAATTTCTATAATGAAATGTTGTTATAGTTTCTTAAAGTCTGTTATAAATAAAAAATGTTTATAATTTGGAAAGAAAGCGTTTCCAAACCCATGTTTATATGGCTTTTTTTTATCCTTGTAGTGAATAAAATATGCTCTTAAAATTTGACCACTTATTTCTGAAACACCCTGTATACTAAGATTATCGAGGATTAATTAATCAAATAATATGAGATGCAAGTACACGCAGATACGCAAATGAATTTATGATTTTCAGGTCCTGTGAATCTTACACTGCTGTAATATCTTCTCGAATTTCCCTAGGCGATCATTATGACACAAGATTTCAGTATAAAATTGTCTATAGAATCTTATGACAAAAACCTTGGCCTTATTAAGCATGATATTGCCATTTCACGTAATAGAGATCTTATTTTTCAATATGAAGCATATTTTAAGTAGATGTTAAGTTTTAACTTTCGTAATTTTAATTCCAATATTATATTTAATTTCAAATTATATTTGATCTTAATTTAGCTTTTAATCTTTTTTATTTATCAATGTATAGTGTATTGATTAAGAAAAATGTTTATTAGACTGCTTAATGTAATATTACATTATACATGTTGTTTTTAAGCCAACCTTAATTAATAGTCTAATCATTATTACGATATTTATTATACAATTTATTACAAAACATTTCAGGAAAATAATTAATGTTATCTAATAATGGTTATGATATAATTGATGCCTTTGTGTAATACGAGTTACGTATTAAATACTTAACACTCCCCGAATTTGCATGTAACTTGATTCTATCTAATTAATCATATTGACACATACAGCTTCGGGATATTAGTCTCATATTCGCGATATCGTATAATACATCGTATTATATCTTTGACTGATGTAATTTCCTAAAGTTTCGTCGTAAAAATGTCGCCTATGGGAAAAGTTTGCGAAGAAGGCGCCTGCGTCTTTTCTTAAAAGCTATCTTGGCGTCTTTCTAGTCTGCCCTCTGCCGTCTGCCGTCATAACGCCAATCATCATAATGTCGTATTACAACGAATATAAAATTTATCCTATCATTAAATAGATTATTGTTATTAAGTTATTGCAATGATTGATTCTTGGAAATACTATTTTAATTATATTAATTTGCGAAAATTAAAAATTTAGATGCGCTTACTTTTATTATAGCTTGATGTTATATTACTCTATTGTCAATAACGCGATAAAATCTTAAAGATATTATCGAGACATTTCCGGCGTTACTTATCGTTGTCGATTTAGGGTCAATTCATGATATATGTTGATGACACGACATGATATATGACATGTCAAAAATATTGTATATTCACATCTACCAAGCATATAAGGCGCGACAATTTTTTTATTCTGATTTTGATGTAGCAAATGTTTTTGATAAAATGTTTAAAAATCAAGTTCTGTTATAAAAAATTAGGCACGAATTGTTTTATTATTAGATGAAATTACGTTATATTATTTATTGTTTCTCAATTACTAATTACGATGAAATAAAATTTTGCTAATATTTTAGAATCAATTCAACAATTTTTCTTTTTACTTTCAAAAATCACATATAATCTCACGAAACAGAACTGAACCTTCTTTTTCAGAGAAGCTTTAATAAAATTTTAATAAAATTCTCTACCAGAAAAATTACATATATATTTCAAATTATAAAAAAGCGCAACCATCTCTATATTTAAATTTTCATATCTAAAGTCAGATATATGTCATTTACATTATCAAGCAAGAACATTTGATAACAGTTAAAACAATTACATTTTTTTGATCAATCAAATCATGCCGTTTCCTGTCTTAGTTTTACAGGTGTCGTTGCAGATTGCATGTTTATACGCATGTGAATACGTATGTTTATATATAGGATGTTCCAGGTCAAGTCAATGAAACTTCAGGATCTTATAGGAAATTGAATTTGGAACAAAAAAGTTCAAATAAACATAGATCTAGAAACGCTTCGTTAAAAACTTATAGCTATAAATTTCGAAAAATCACGTTTTTTGATGATTTTCAAAAATAATTTCAAAACCCTTTATTCATTTGAAAAAAGTAGCGAAATAAATCTGATGGTAATTAAATAACAAACTAAATTTCACCAATATCATTTAATTCTGATAAGATGTTCAAAAGAAAATAAGCTCGAAACAACAAAAAAAGCAGAAACTTGGAAAAAACCACCTTTCGATGGTCTTTGTGTAAACACTACATTCGTAATGCAAACATTTCAAATGCAAACAAAAATGGTCTTATTAAATTTTTATAATAACTAATTATAATACTTACAGAGAGTTTATTAGCCTATAACTTTTTAACAAAGCGTTTCCGGATATATGTTTATAGGAACTTTTTTGTCCCAAATTCAATTTCCTATAAGACCCTAAAGTTTCATTGACCTAATCTGGAACACCCTGTATATTATAAAAGAATATCTTGTCGCATCGTGAATCCCAACCTTTACCTAACTAAAAGCAAGAGAAGGATCGTATTCTCACCTGTCGGCTTGCGTATCAGAGTAGCGAAATAAATCTGATGGTAATTAAATAACAAACTAAATTTCACCAATATCATTTAATTCTGATAAGATGTTCAAAAGAAAATAAGCTCGAAACAACAAAAAAAGCAGAAACTTGGAAAAAACCACCTTTCGATGGTCTTTGTGTAAACACTACATTCGTAATGCAAACATTTCAAATGCAAACAAAAATGGTCTTATTAAATTTTTATAATAACTAATTATAATACTTACAGAGAGTTTATTAGCCTATAACTTTTTAACAAAGCGTTTCCGGATATATGTTTATAGGAACTTTTTTGTCCCAAATTCAATTTCCTATAAGACCCTAAAGTTTCATTGACCTAATCTGGAACACCCTGTATATTATAAAAGAATATCTTGTCGCATCGTGAATCCCAACCTTTACCTAACTAAAAGCAAGAGAAGGATCGTATTCTCACCTGTCGGCTTGCGTATCAGTTTGCTGCACCTGTGTTTGCAATCCTTGCGCTTGGTCCATTTTGGTCTCCTTACGATGATTCCCCTCCTCTTCTTCCTCCTCTTCTATCTCCTCATTCGCCGTCTTCTCGTCTTTCATGCCGCAATTATCTATTGTTATACTCTTGCATTCCACCTGCGCAAAAAAAAATCCGAAAGACATGTAAATCCCGCTTAATGGCTTCTCATGCATTCAAGAATATAATAAAAACGTTTCCGAATTTTGTCAATGGGAATAATAATATGGTAAATTTCTATATTAGCGTCGTCATCTCCGATTTGCCTCAAAATTTACATAGAGCTTTCTTTAGGTCTACAATTAACAGTTATGATATTTTAAAGTCGGGCAAACAAAATGTCGTCCTTCGGGAAAATCATCAAGCGGTATTTTATAATAAAAAACTGAAAAAGTCCACACAACAATTATGGGGTGAACCTCGTTTTGTATTGTATAATACATGCGTGGATGCAGTGAGTTCCGCCACCCCCCCTACGGGGAGGCTCCACTTCCGGAAGGTATAACCTAACCCAAACCTATTTCTGATTTAAAACTAAAATTTGGGTTTGGGTTAGATTATATCTTCCGGAAGTGGAACCCCCCCGTAGGGGAGGGGCGGAACTCACTTCGTCCACGCATATATTTTACAATGCGAAACGAAGTGAGATCGGCGCTAATATCAAGGTTTACCACGTTCAGATTAAATGTATATGGCGTCAGAAAATTACATTCTAATATAATGTCTAAATGCACAGAATATGTCTTATCAAAAGTGTCAAAAAATCAAAATATTCCTAAATGCGAATAGCGCTTCACGCGACCACTTGATAATTTTCTTCAAGGACAACATATTGTTTGCCCGGTTTTAAAATATCATAACTGTTAATTGTAGACCTAAAGAAAGCTCTATGTAAATTTTGAGGCAAATCGTAGGTGGCGACGCTAATATAGAAATTTACCGGCAAAACATAAACAATTGAAAAAAGTTACGCTAAAGCTACTACTTCACGTAAATCTTTCCTACACGCTTGCTCTCAAACATCAATTAGGACTTTATTATCGATTTGTTTGCGTTGATGGATTTTCAAATCGTTTTCAACATGATACTAAAATATCCAAATTTCCTGAAGTGTTTGATTATCTTGATATAAAAAATGTTTTACATCCAGAAATAATATATGATAATTTTATAGACTGTGTATCTTGGATTATAATAAACGAAACACGTTATGAGATTAACAATATTATATGTATTGCGACGACTTTTACTTCCGTCTCGCGACCGAACGATAGACGCGTCCGCCATTTCAATCTCTCCGTCGCGCGGATGGACGTTGCGCCGACGAACAGGAGCGAATTCACCGAACGGGAGATGCGGGATAGTCGTTGACAAAAACCGAGAACAGAGAAAAAGGACAACGCGCCGAGTAAGAACGGGATGGTAAAGGTTCCGCGCGTACCGTGACAAAATCCAAAAGATAATTGCGAGAATCGAACTTGGGCGCCAGATACGGTCTTTCACGCATCAAT